GAGCGCGCCCCGCCCCAGGCCCGCCTGGCTTGCCCGCCTGCCCGAGCCCCTTCCTCTGGGCGGGAAGCTGGGCCTGCACCGCAGCCGGTGCCCTGGGGAGCAGGCCGCCCGTCTTCTCAGAGCCCCGCGCCTGCCCTGAGCTCGGCCTCAAGGCGCGCCCGGCCGGAAGACCAACCCTGGGTGTGGGCTCCCCTCCCGCGAGAACGGCGAGTGGCGGGAACTGCGGCCCGGGCAGGTGCGCGCTGGGGCCGCGTGGGCCGTCACGTAGGTCAGCCCGGGCAGCGTGGCCAGGGCTGCTGCTCGGTCAGCAGAGACCACCGGGAAAGCGCCCGAGCTGGCCACTCGGTGTCACACACCTGTTACACACAGCCCATGGCCAGCCTGAGCTGGGACTTAAATGACAGGCCCCCAGTTGTCACTGCAGCCCTGAGGTCCCAGCTGGGGCCGCGGTAGCTGGACCACGAGGTGGTGAGACCTTGGCTTGAACTATTTTATTTAACTTTATTTATTTCTTTTAATTTGACCAGAGAGGGACAGAGTGAGCCAGAGAGTGAGAGGCAAAGTGAGAAAGCCAGCCACCGGGTCACCTGGGAGTCCAGCCCCTTAACACCACGCCACCTGCCGGCCCCAAGGGGGGTTATATTATTAAAAGCACACTAAACGGCAGCCAGCAGGTGTTGTGGAGCCTAAGGTGGCTGGGTCCCACAGGGCTGACTGTGCAGCTGGATTCCCACACCTGGTTGCTTGAAAACCATACCAGGCGCATGTGTGTGCGTGCCCGAAATGCTGAGCGAGAATGGAGTGGAAGGGGGTGCTTTCTCACCTCCTCTCTGTCTCTGTCCCTCTCCAGCAACCACATGTACCCTATCAAAAAACCCCACCAAGTTAATTATTTCATTCGGATCATTAAAAAGAATATATCCAAACAAAAAATGGGGACAAAAATGGTGCAAGAAATGAGGATTTTGTTCAGGACCTATGAGGACAGATGTTACTGTACAGTGACCGTAATGGAAACACGTCTGTCAGATGGTGTCAAGACAACGCTGAGTCTCTGTGAGCCGGATGCGGGGAGCCCGGTAAGTGCAGCTGTGACCACGCAGACCCCCTGGCCTCTCGGAGTGTCCTGGCCACGGAGCTGAGAAGTCGTGTTGGAGGGACAGCACAGGAACGGTCCCACTGAGGGTGGAGAGACGCACAGAAAACCCGTGAGGGAAAATGCAGTGCAAGTCAGAAAGGGCATGGAAGCAAATCAAGTGGAGACTGAAACATCAAGATGGTATAGTTTCAGTTTTGAAATTTGTATTTATCTCTTCTGTAAGAGAGAGAGAGACAGAGAGACAGACACCATCAATAAGGTTTCAGTGCCACCTTCCGTCCCACCCCAGCTGGCCTGGGTCATGGCAGGTGGCAGGTCCGGCCAGCCTCACTGAGCACTGCTCCACCACGGAGCCAGGCCTGCTCCCAGGAGGACACTGGAATGGGTCTTCAGGGGCCACAGTCAGACTGAAGATGCAGCTGCCTGGGGGAGACCCAGGAGAGCTGACAGCCCATCAGCTCGGACCAGGGCCTGGTCCCACAGGCTCCCAGACGACCCCTTCACAGACGGTCCGCCCACCGCAGTCTGTTTCTTCACCGCTTGGGAAACACTGGCCAGTGGAGACAACTCACACCTCCGGTCGGCTGCGACCGCAGTGCCGTCTGCAGAACTTGTGTTAAAACGGAAGCATCTGGGAAGAAAGGCTTCGGAGCGGCTCCCGGGGAGGCAGGAGTCCTCACTGTGGCCGCGGCTGGCCCTGGGGCAAGGAGAGCGGCACGGTCGGGAGGGAAGACCCCGCTCGCACGTTTGCGCCAGCGGACACGCCCTTGGTATTCTGGCGTCTCGGTGGAGCTGTGGCCCAGCCAAGGGGAGGCCCAGACCCACGAGCTTGGACGCGCCGGCTCGGCGGAGGGCGAGGGGCCAGGCTGGCCGAGGACTCGCAAGGAGGCCTGGCCAGCAGGCGGGCGCGGGGAGGGTCTCTCTCTCTCCTGGGAGACCGAGGCCTAGGTGCCTGGGCGACACAGCTTCCGTGACCACCGCGCCCCTTTCTCCCCATCTAACTCTGATCTGATGGGCGGTATTTCCCAGGATCCCGTCCAGCCACCCTGGTCAGAGCTCGCGCATCTTCCTGGCAGCCCTGGGGTCCCCTCATTTGTAGGAAACCCAAGTTCGCGCCCCCGCTTGCGCCTCTCGGGGCTCGTAGACGTCACCCCATTCTGCACGTGCCCAACTGGGCCTCACTGAAGACTGCGTCCCTGTTGCAGTAGCCCAGGTCACCACCGCCCCGCTGGCCTGCGCGGCCCCCTTCTACTCCTGGACTCCTGGGCCTCGGCAGACCCCCGCCCAGGCCCGGGCCGCGCAGGCGCAGTGCGGCCCCGCCCGGCCTGCGGAAGGCGCCGCGCGCACTTCCTCTCCAGGAGCCCGCGGAGGGGG